GCTCGTTTTCAATCACACTTAATAGTTCACTTCTTTTGTTCAAAACGGAATCCGAGTTCGTGTAAAAACATTTTACAGCTTTTTCTGCATTTTCACTTTGATTCATGCGTTTATTTCTTACATTATTTACAGGCCTGGTTCTATGGACATGACTTCTTACTTGTCTTCCAGCTCCGCTGACTGACCGTGAGCGGTCGGCGTTGTCTTTTAAATTCAACTCGAAAATTTTACCATACCTAGAAATCTATTCACTTTAAAGCGTCAAAAAATCTGTTATAATTTCACGAATGCTAGTTCAGCCATTTTTTAAATTGAATTATTATGCTAACTTTTTAGCGCATTTTCTCATTTATGGAGAAAATGCACTATTGTGCTCGCCATGTCTGTCCGTCTGACCGTCCGTGACTTCACTTTTTCGTCGACGAGAAAATGCGCTCTCTTTCACTCACTGCAGTGAGTACTGAGTTATATTTTATAATAATATCATCGGCCAATCACAATTCAGGATTAAAATGCAAATATCACAAAAATTTAAAAAGAGGGAAAACTATATTCTTGTAAAATTGTAGAACTTTGGACTGAGTTGTATTGGAAACTTGGGCTTAGGAGAAGGAAAGCCTCACACATGACGCCAGTGCAGGCGTGAAAGTTTGACGGAAGTTTGTGAACTTGGGGAGAGCGGTAAGCAGGTTACAGCGACGTCCTGAGACCCCGCCATATGCAACCTGCGAGGTCCTGCTGTAGCTGGTGAGATGGCTCTGGACCGTGAGTTTTGGGTCACACTCATCGATGTTAAACAATCACTCATTCAGCTGTAAGATCTCGAACTTGCTGAAATATTGAAAACTTCGCTAGAAGAACGTCAACGTTTCTGGAAGATAACTAACGTTACAAGAAGATCATTAGCATTGCTGAATTAGTAACTTTAGGGGAAAATCACTGAATTTGCAGCAAGACGTTTCTCGCTAACTGTATCACGTTTCGGGTGGCTTTTTAATATTGGGAGTAATTTGTTTGTCCAGCGAATGGTTTCTCACGTTGTTGATAATATTGATATCAGGCTATGTTACATACGTTCTTTCCCCAGCTGGACGATTACTCACGTTATGAATAACAGGATTAATGGATCATGTTAACCTTTGGATGTTGGATTGAGCACGAAGGATTGATCACGATGATCACGAAGCGCTGCTGAGGGTAGGATGTGGCTGATGTTGCAGGCTTCGTCCAGTATGGACACGCCATTTACGATATCCTTAATTGCGAATGGTTCTCCCTAAATTATTTGTGAAATAAATTGTGACAATTTTTATTTCTGTACACTATTATGCCAGTTACTCAGAATTCACCTAATATAAATTCCGATATTGATTAACAATTCATGAAAAATCGTGCAATCTTTTAAAAATCGCTCTCTCTGATGAACCCAGTTACTGGTTCGTAAGCGACTGCATTCAATGCTCGTTTTTGGAGATAATGGAACGTATTTTGTCTACTGTAACCATTTCCCTTATGCGGCGACTTTGGCTAAATTATTTAACAAATGCTATTAACAATACGATGCTGGAAATTTTTAGCTCGAAAAAATCCTCGAGTCGAGGGTTGAAGAACACTGCACTTGATAGCGAGCTTACTGAAGTTTTGTTAAAAGTTTTGCCCCTAACGGCTAATGGTATTAACTCCGGGGACCGATTATAGACCCGGCTACTAGAATGTAAAATAAAAACCTGGGCACTAGTTTGCGAGGCCTCTAGGCCATGAATGACATGCACTCTGTACTGAAACTTTTGCCTGATTGATAATGCATTCTGTACTCAATCTTTTTTTTTTACGTGAATGTCTTGCACTTTGTACTCTGGAAAATTTATATATGAAAACGTAATAACTCACATACATTACTTTCAAATTATACGTTTAATGGGAAAATCCAAGCAAATGTAAAGGGAACGCTCTAAGTATCCTGCCCTTATACCTTAACGGGCCACTGTAAAAGTCAATACATGTTTGATTTTACTTAGGGTAGACTTGTAATGCCTTAACTCAAACTCATTTTACTTATTATTCTAAAAATTCAAATGGGATGAACAGTATTGCCTATTCTCTGACAGATTTGTGGAGCAATAAAGATGTACATCGTCATAAAGTATTTGTCGAGTCGTAATATTGTTGTAATGTTATAATTGTGGAAAGCATTCTTATAGAGGCGTAGTTTCCCTCTACCCTCACCACCCCTATGAAGTCCTACTTAAATACAGTCTCTTATCTCTTTGCATTATAGAGTCCTTAAATACAGTCCCTTCCATAGGGGCACTATTGAGTCCTAATCAAATACACCTTCCCTCCTTGCAGGATGGAGTCCTATACAGTCACATCTTTCACTGCAGGCGTGCGTGAAGTTCTAATGATCTAATCCATGATCAGTGGAAAGACTTTGCATATGGTTCCAAGCAATATTGGGATGCACATTTTAAAAAATGTTCACCATCGAGAAACGCACCGAATTATAACCGCTATCACTGTCATTTTCCTAACAAAATACGAGGACCACCCAGGCATCGGCCTAATAGTCACTACACTCGGCGCAAAGTTATACTGGGTCTGCTTGGCCAACCGATCGAAATGTGCTCCTGTCAGAACCTCCTTTCAGACTTCACAGTCACCTGAGAGTATTTCAAAGGTTGGCAGAGTCGAGTGATGTGACCGAGGTTGAACATATAAAGGGCCAAGAGAAGTGACGCCGTAGTGGGCAGAGCTTTATTACGAACTGAACAACATTGTACAACGGGTTACCACAATGACTTATCCTGTTGCCATACAGGTAAGCTAAACGCTATAGTTGGTGATTACCACACGTGTCATACCGAACTACCCAGCTGCCCTGAGGCTGCTCTTCGAACCTTGTGCCGTAGCGGACATAGAGCCGCTGATTTACGTGCTCCCTGAGTCCTAGGCGGCCCTAATGCAGGGTCGCGTAATCCTCTAAATTTTGTTAGGGCTATTCGCTTTAAAATCTAAAATTTACATGACAAATCATAAACTTTGTTCGAATATACGAATTTCCATTGAGAAATATCATTATTGATATTACAGAAGACAGCCGAGACTTGTATTTGCATAACCGATACCAATTAAATGTTCATATTATGTAAAATTAAATCTACAGTTTTAAAATAAATTTGCAGGACAACTTTTGTCAATGTTTTCACTTGGCTTAAATATACTCTGAATTATCATATTTCTAGCGCTCAAGAATTTTATTCTAACATCAACCCCAGCAGCCGCACTTTATATATAAAATTCATACAGAATAAGAGAAAAGTGAACGAAGCGTCTGCCTTTGCTTAATATTCTTCTCCTATTAATTAATTATCCATGCAGGGAGGACGAGAAACATTGAACGATCAGCAAATTGGGTCAAATTTGATTGCAATAGAGAGCAGAATTTTGTTGTTTGCGTTGATTGATTATCTGCACTTAAATAATCAACGAACAATTCAAATTCTCAAATAAACATTAACAAACATAAACATAAATAACCTTCAAACAAGTTTAAGATTAATTTCAATTTTGAGCGACGCTACCTACAAATATTCCTATTTTTAATTTGATTAAAAGCATCTAGCAAACTAAATATTCACTTTGAATATTCACAATAATTTCAGACTGATTTCAAAACTTTTATGGTATTACGCGCTGGAATATTTCCTTATATGTTAAACTGCACTTTCATTAATATATATGATTTTATATTTTCAGTTTCCGCGGGTGTATTGTATTCACATTTTAAGTCTTGATTAGAATCACTATTCAGTTGATTGAACTAAAAATTTGAAGACCAAATAATTCATGTTCGAATCCACTTCTATAAATTTTTAATGCTCACCTGTGCTGTAAATTGGATTGTCTGGAGACCAGTAGCTCTGCCCTCTTCATTTCAGCGCCTTTCAGAGCAGCTAAGTTATTGCCGCGTCCCAGAGTCAGAGCACGTAGCTCTGCCCCACAAAAATCCCCGGCAATCCCAGCAAAAATGGCTGAAAAATGCACCACGAGCCCCAGTCCAAATGGCTGAGAAATTCCCAGCAAACCTCAAGACAAATCTTCGGTTTCAGCGCCTCGTATTCCCTCAGGATTTGACTGCTGACGAAAACTTCCAGGACAGAATTCTATTCAAGGGCATTTTTTGCTGCTAGTAACGCCAAAACTTTCTCACTTCATCAACACAGTTGACAGGCTACGATGTTGTCCTCGCCGTAAATATTGTCGATGTTGATACCAGCAGATTCATAAGAACATTGATGAAATTTACACCGCTTCATTGCCGGCAAAAATTTCATCTACAGTTTTTAATTTTCCTTCAAATTTGGGAATCGTTGCTTTAACCCAACTCCCATAAATGATGCGAGAAAAATTAAATTTCGCTTCATTTTACATTCTTTTTTCCTAAATTACTGCCTGAATTTCAAATTTCATTTGTTCAAAAAATGCCCTATATACTAACAATTCTTACAGAGGATATTTTATAAAGTTTTAGAGCTTAAGATGAAGGAATTTTCCTAACGGAAGGTCTGGCTTAAACTGCAGCTTTCTGAAAGTATATTTTGGCTAATTGCAGGTAACCGTTGACCAGTACATATGTTGCACTCAGCATGAAAAATATTGTGTTATAATTGTGTTATATCTATAATTTCCAGTAATGACTTCATTTTGATATCATTTCTACTAAAAAAGACCATCTTCAGTCTATAAACTCAAGTAAACGCAGAATGAAGTTAAATTCACAATTCATATCCTACATACAAGTGAGAATTGAGGTCTAATCAATGTCCATTAAGCTCTGCAAATAGCATACAATCGCATATTACTGGAACTGTGATGCTTGATGTGTTAGAATTGTATTAATATAGGTAAAATATAAGTGTAACCTATAAACAATGTAGAAAAATATTATATTAAAAATTGGCAAAATTAGTGACTACATTTCCGTTTTCATATATTGTAAAAACAAAACAACGTTAGTCGTCAAATCATATAAAATAAATGCCAATCAAGTAATAAAGTTTAATCATGTACATTAAACCACAAATTTCAAACTCATCGAAAATATTGATTGAATTAAGTTAGTGTCTATTTTTTATAATTATAATTATATAGAATAATGAAGGGGTGGTCAGCAGGCAATTGGGCCATGCTGGGCCACCAAGCAAATGTCGGCCAGAATTTCAATAATTTCTAGGAGGTTTCGCACCGGCAACTCACTGCTCTAATATTTTGATGTGAGTAGGAATAAACTTAGGATAAGTAAGAGTGAATAATTTTACATGTCGACATCACGGTTGCAATTTAATGGCGTACCATCAAGTCTGTTTAAATAATAATTAAAAGTTCTGATCATATGATCAAATTTTTCTATTACGTGAGAATAATTCACTAACATCTGATGACAACAACTTCAATTCTGCTTAGGAACTACTGCTTCTGAATAGTGCAAATCAATGCATATATAAAAATAATTTTATTTTAGTTTCTCTACACGACTCAATGCTTAGCAAATGTGGTCTTTCGTGAGACCACTACATGTGGTTGTTAATGTAGTGTATAATAATTAATGTACACCTTATTAACGTACACCTTATTATTGTATACCTTATTAATGCACACTTTATTAATGTACACATTATGAATGCATACTTAATTAATGCACTTTTAATGTATATTAACAGAACGTTCTACTGCAGCGTTTCGAATTGTTCGGAATAAGCGATGAAGATACTTGAATGTTGGATTGTTTCTCCGTGGAGTTTTTCAAACTCGTTCGCGTTTATAGACCGTTTACGTAAGTAATTCGCTTCAGTTTCCATTGCAATGTTTTCCTGCCGTTACTCCCCACATCCTTACTCCCCCTACTCCCCTCACCCTTACTCCCCTCACCCTTACTCCCCTCGCCCTTACTCCCCTCACCCTTACTCCCCTCACCCTTACTCCCCTCACCCTTACTCCGCTCACCCTTACTCCGCTCACCCTTACTCCCCTCACCCTTACTCCCCTCACCCTTACTCCCCTCACCCTTACTCCCCTCACCTTTACTCCCCTCACCCTTACTCCCCTCACCCTTACTACCCTCACCCTTACTCCCCTCACCCTTGCTCCCCTCACCCTTACTCCCCTCACCCTTACTCCCTTCACCCTTACTCCCCTCACTTCAAGAAGTTAGACATCCAAGGGCCTCTTAGGAACGACGTGAAACAAACGAGCAAAACTTCACTAATAAATTATAGCGAAACTCCTTAGCCTCAGGCGTAGCTGCGTGACGCCTTAGCCTTCAGGCGTAGCTGCGAGACGCCTTAGCCTTCAGGCGTAGCTGCGTGACGCCTTAGTCTTCAGGCGTAGCTGTGTGACGCCTTAGCCTTCAGGCGTAGCTGTGTGACGCCTTAGCCTTCAGGCGTAGCTGTGTGACGCCTTGGTCTTCAGGCGTAGCTGCGTGACGCCTTAGCCTTCAGGCGTAGCTGTGTGACGCCTTACTATTCAGGCCATGACAAGCATCGCAGTTACGAACACACATCACAGTTGCGAACACTGACTGTTCGCACAGTTCTTAACCAGCAACAAAAACAACATGGAAAACAACAGCAACAATAAAGAGATTTTACAGATAAGCAAAACCCACCTAAATGAAACGGAAGAGGTAGAGGATAAATGCAACCATTGCTCTACTCTAAAAAATATAAATATTTCACCAGGGTCGAGCTCAGTTTTGCGAGCGTTTGTTATTGCGTGTAACTAATGCACTCTGAGCCGACCAAAGGCCTGCAAAGTCCTTTTCGTTTTGTCCAACAAGCCGGCTTGAAAAAATATCCCCCAAACCCATAAAATACTCATGGTTTTGCGCGGTAAAATAGACATGGAAAACCGGGCGCTGCACCTCGAGAGAAAAATCGTCGTAGAAATATTCGCGGCCGGTCTTTGGCCGCCTTTGATTTAGCGGAGATTCAAAATTTTCTCTTTGCGTGGAGCGCTTAGTAAAATAAAGAACCTGGTTTAGGTTCTCATCTTACGGTAAGCTTTTAGGTGAAGCAAAATTAAAGGAAAAAGGTAATAGAACATGTATTTACAATTATTTTTAATTTGTGAGATGTTCGTGAGATAAAACGTTATTGAATTGAACGAATCGCCTGATGGTTTTCAATAAGTTAATTAGTAGTAGAATATATCACGGTCACATACAATGTGATGTATAATGGTACATCCTCGGAATAACCCCAAACCACTTGTTTTTGATCTATTCTTAGGATATATTAAGACATAACATATTAGTCGTGTTTACAACACAAGAGAGCAGTCGTGTTTACAACACAAGACAGCAGTCGTGTTTACAACACAAGACAGCAGTCGTGTTTACAACACAAGACAGCAGTCGTGTTTACAACACAAGACAGCAGTCGTGTTTACAACACAAGACAGCAGTCGTGTTTACAACACATGAGAGCAGTCGTCTTTACAACACAAGACAGCAGTTGTATCTTCTAACAAATACTTGCCTTGTCTACATAAAAATTAAATCTTACTTACTAAAAATTAAATTTTCCTTACTACTAAAAATTAAATCTTACTTCTATTAAATATTAAATCTTACTTCTACTAAAAATTAAGTCTTACTTACTACTAAAAATTAAATCTTACTTACTAAAAATTAAATCTTACTTACTACTAAAAATTAAATCTTACTTACTACTAAAAATTAAATTTTACCTACTATAAAAATTCAATCTTACTTCTACTAAAAATCAAATCTTACTTACTACTAAAAAGTAAATCCTATTTTCACTGAAAATTAAATCTTACTTACTACTAAAAATTATATCTTACTTCTACTAAAAATTAAATCTTACTTACTACAAATTCTCTTATTTTTTAATAACCAGAAAAAAGCGAGATTCCCAGAAAGTTAGTCCCGCTTCAAACCACATAAGGACAATTGAGAAGGACCAGCTAAGGACCCTCGTCGCCAGGCAAGGGTCCAGCAATTACTAAGGGCTGCGGGCTTATGAGGACTAAGAATGCGAGTAGGAGTTCAAGGACCAGAAGCAGAACGAAAAATTGCGATATCAGAGGGTGAGAAAATTATATAATAAATGAAAAAGTTTTATATCAGCTGGTGCGGAAATGAATAAATTTTGGGAGAAAATTATTAAGTTTCAATGCCACAAAACTTTAGTTTAAGTTAATTTCAAAACTTAAAAGCAAAAGCTCCAGCAGTGACCATGTTTTACTGCAACTGCCCAGTGATTAAATATCTGGGGCCATACTTTCAAACTTTGCCAAGTAAACGTAAGTACTTACGCTCTATTTTCTTGTCTATGATTGGTGGATTTTGCTTGAAAGGCCGTCAATGATTGGCTGTTGAACTTACGATCTCTTAATTTTTTTAAAGTATAGGCCCTGCTTTCTTTGTTTCAATTATATTAATAACCCAGAAATGTCAGCATCACCAGCATCACCAGCATCACCAGCCGTGTCAGCATCACCAGCATCACCAGCAGTGCCAGCATCACCAGCAGTGCCAGCATCACCAGCAGTGCCACCATCACCAGCAGTGCCAGCATCACCAGCAGTGCCAGCATCACCAGCAGTGCCAGCATCACCAGCAGTGCCAGCATCGCCAACAGTGCCAGCATCACCAGCAGTGCCAGCATCACCAGCAGTGCCAGCATCACCAGCAGACCATTTGGCCCCCTTAAGTCCATTTAGCCCCCGCCCCCCGATAAAAGGGGGCCTAAATAAGATGAGTTTTCGATATAGGCTCTTTTGTTGCAGGTTCCGAGACACGGGATCTGCACTGCCAAAATTGTGGCCATTTCTCTGCACTTTATGTCTTCATGAAAATTTGTTTGTGAGAACAGCAGGCCGAGGCTTCGATGGGTAATATAAGCCCTACGTAGTATAGGCTGTGACTTTTATGTGATATAGGCCTATTTTCACGGCAGAAATGGGAATATTTGTGAAGGAATTTGTACGGGAGCAGCAGCAAGATAGTGGGAACTGTTGTCGGGTTATGCAACATAATTAATTGTTAAATCTCACTCTGATGTCGGAGGTTTTACAATTAATTTTTGAAGAGAATATAAGAGTTTTATAGAGGCAGGGAATAAACCGTGTGAATAATTGAATGATGACAGTAAAGTTCTCATGTAAATGAGACGACGGCATACAAGATTGACGTTGGTTTAAACAAAAGGGTAAATTGTAAAAAAAATTCTGGAGGTTAACTCTTGAAGCGGAAATAAACTAATGAGAATGAAAACATAAAAAAACGTCCGCTTTAAACTATGAGTTTTAGACTCGCTCGAGAATAGCACTAGAATTAACCAACGTTTATCTTCAGAATAGAAAAACGATTCAATTTGATGACCTTCAGAGAAAAATAGATTTAGGTGAAAGCACCTACAGCACCTGGTGAGTGGCAGAATATAGAAAAAGATGCATCCGTGGATTGCATTTAGACATTTCGCAAAAATAAAATGGCCTTTTCATCGATAAGCCCTTAAGAAATTTTAACTGTTCTTGAAGCGATAAGAAGATCAAGATCTCGACCATATGACTGGAGTTACTATACATGTTCTTGTCACGAGAAAAACCGTGTAAAATTTATTCGTGCGCGTGATTTTATTTTCAATTGAAACGGTAATCGGTGCTTTAAATTTGTGATAATATTCAGTGTTATTTCATCAGACATCACTTGTTGTCTAAAGTTCTTAGGAAAACATCTAAATAACCACACTCTATATTGTTATCTAAGGTTTCTTGTGTTCTTTGATTGTTGGCGAGTTGACAACAGCAGCAGTGTTGAAAACAGAGCAGTACACGGTACTACCAGTGTCTGGTACTTGCAGTACACGGTACTACCAGTGTCTGGTACTTGCAGTACACGGTACTACCAGTGTCTGGTACTTGCAGTACACGGNAAGGGAGTGTAAGGGTATGTATGGGGGTGTGTGTGTGTAAGGGAGTGTGAGGGTGTGTGTTGTGGTGTCTGTGTGTAAGGGAGTGTAAGGGTGTGTGGGGGTGTGTGTGTAAGGGAGTGTAGCGGGGTGTAGCGGGGTGTAGCGTGGTGTAGCGGGGGTGTAGCGTGATGTAGCGGGGTGTAGCGCGGTGTAGCGTGGTGTAGCGGGGGTTTAGCGTGTAGCGGGGTGTAACGCGGTGTAGCGGAGGTGTAACGTGATGTAGCGGGGTGTAGCGTGGTGTAGCGGGGTGTAGCGTGGTGTAGCGGGGTGTAGCGTGGTGTAGCACGGTGTAGCGGAGTGTAGCGTGATGTAGCGGGGTGTAGCGCGGTATATCGGGGTGTAGCGCGGTGTAGCGGGGTGGAGCGTGGTGTAGCGGGGTGTAGCGGGGTGTAGCGTGGGGTAGCGGGATGTCGCGGGGTGTAGCGTGGTGTAACAAGGTGTGTCAAGGCCATGTAGCGGGGTGTAGGCAGGATGCCCAATTAATAATTTGATGTGTACTTACAATTGGATTTTCACCAAAGAATCAACAACGCAAATTTTGGTTGAGGATGCAAACCAAACTATCGATTAAATAGTATTTCCTACATAGAAACAGGATGACCGATGACTGTGAAGGGTTTTCTTATGTGAACTTGATATACAATTTTAGATTCGTCCCATTCTCTAGCACGGTTAACTCATTAGGGCGTTGCGATTAGCATTGGTCGTCATTGTACGACGAAAGCTTTTACTTGTAAGACAAACCGAGCTTTACCTACCGGATCGACACTTCAGCGAACTCGCCTGCGAACTCGCCTGCGAGCTCGCATGCAAAACCTAACTTAATTTTCAACTGTGGCACGCATAACTCCGTCAATAATGGACTGATTTTCGTATTAAAAAAAAGTTTTTGATGAATAAATTTGAAAAAAATAGCCTCCGCAGCGTACTGATATTATCTACTTATATTTCAAATTTGAAGAAAATTCGTCCATTATTGACGGAGTTATGCGTGCCACAGTTGAAAATTAAGTTAGGTTTTGCATGCGAGCTCGCAGGCGAGTTCGCAGGCGAGTTCGCTGAAGTGTCGATCCGGTCTGCACTCCACGCGTACCAAATTATTCTACCCAAAAGGAACAGTTTCGCTACGAAATTTTTCACAATGACATTGATCGACTTGAAGCCTACATGTCATTGAATTTATGCAAAAGAATTATCACAAATTTGGGGATAGTATTTGCAAATACAATAGATAAACAAATTTATTTTCACAATATGTAATCGAAATGGTATGACGGTGAACAGTGTTACGAGTGCGTGTTATACACAAATGTGTAAACAGTGTTATGTCCATAAAAATTCGACTTGATGGTCTGTTGATTTCTAAACGCTTTATTATATATCTGATTCGTATTTAATTGAATGCAATTGATTTGGTTGGTTATTACAGTTGGTGGAGGATTGTTCAAGCAAAAACATTGGTACTCTTCACTTTAAATGTCATGAATTATCAATGATCTATAAGCATGTATTCTTTTTTGAACAATCAATGGAATAATTAAAGCCAAGAGTGTGAGTAATGTAGTGGTAATCCCGCCGACGACATGCGGACGCTCTCCTCCAGCCCGCCAGTGCCAGATCGATGGCATCACCGAGGCCCTCGCAGGCGCCAAGAATATCTAAGAAATGATCAATACGTGCACTGCCGCATTGACGCAGCTCTCTTCCTTCCATATGATAGGCAAGAAATGAATATATTTTTCAAGGCACTTTCAATAGATGCCACTGATGAGCATTGTTGTTGTTATGTACCCTTCGACTTTGCAAGCGTATTGTGTAGAAAGAATTGGTAAGTTCGAGGCCAATTCTCAATTGAATATTTTTCCTGGAAAATTTGTTTAAGCGTGAGTAAAAGTATTCAAGAGGAAGAGCTTACTCTGCCTTCTGCACAGTTGCGTTGTTTGCATTCTTTAACAATGAATTAGTGTAATTATATGAGCGCAAAAAAGATTTAGATTTGCTGATGGCGACATACTGCAACTACACGAGTCAAGCTGGAGCAGTAGGACGAAGACGCGGCGACTCATTCGGTCAGTGTCAATCGCTACGAGTGAGGGTGAGGTTGTAGTGTGCTGGTGATTATAACTTTCCAACCATGGCGAGGAAGTTATCGAACACCATAACTGCAATAATTGCTCTTGCAGCTATATTTTTTAACAGCATCGTGGAGGTGAGTTTCATGTAGATGCAGGTTTTGTCTCTAATATGTCTGCATTTTCCATTTGGATTGTTATATCATGGAATAGGTGACTTGGAGTGCACCATCGATTCCATGGTAGTGATGGTGAGCGTGTCACCACACCCAGGCTGGCCACACCACGCAGTCCACATGCTTTGGTAGCTCGCTGTCAAATCCAGAGGACATTGATACCCTTTTTTAAGTTTATGTGAGAAGTTCATACATCAAAGTTCTTATTAAGTAAGCAAACTTCCCTGCTATTATAGTAGAACTATTGGTTAGTTTACATGAATACCTAACTCAAGTTTTTGCTTTTTAAGTTTTAACATACTGCGATTTTAGGTACCTAGTTTGTTTGTTGCTAAGCGATCGAATGGAGGGTATCGCTTTGGAGATTGGAGCAATTTCATTATTTTACATGAACGTCCTACACGAAACCGTATAATAAAACTGAATTCGAATCTTTAATTCTTTTACTTTCACTTGCGTAACTTCTACGTGCTTAACAGTGAAAATTCATGTTAAACATGTTGAACTTTACGTTATTTCATTGATTGTTGGGCCTTGAGGCTGCTAAAAATTATTAAAAAAATTAATATCTTTATTGTTTACTCGGGCAATTGAGGCCAGAGCCTGCAGTCTGTTCAGCTCAGCTACGGAAATGAGTTTTTTGCCCGCTAGTAATTTCCGTCATGACGGACCGTAATGTCGCACGATGATTTCGCTCACCCGTAACCCCCGTCGCGAGTTGCCGGAGTTGGTCGTGCTCACTAATCACCATGCAGTATGCAATAGTGCTAGAGTGCGCTTTGGTGGGCTTTTCTTCACAATCATGGGGTAGGATTCTGTCAAATATATGTTATTTTCTATGTTGAACTCACTTGAACATGTAAAAACATGTATATTTTGCGTCGGTTTGATATAAAATTCATTGAAATTGCCAAGTGGCGTTTCCACAGCAACACTGTGACTGAGGTTAATGCCCCTTGTAGGCTTTACTTTGTATTTAAAGACCACTTTTATCACATGGATTACCTTTTATCCTCACTGGTTGGTTAAATTTTCAGTTAGCTGACTTATTACTTTTGCTGTATTGATTACATAAATTACATTTGTGTTAACATATTCTTTAGGTTGGAGAATAAGGCTTGAAATTCAGACTGCTTTGGATTTTTTTTGAGAATTTCATCTTTCTACATTTCATTTTCACTTTCAATATAACCTAACTTGAATTAACATTTCTTTACCTACTGGGTAAATACCTGTATACTTCTACCGTCTACCCACTGGATTAATATAGAAATATTTATATCACACATTATTACCTATAATATGAAGTTTCTGTCAAAGTCTGGAATGGTCTCATTGGTCTGGGTTGTATATATGACACAAGTTCATAATTAATTTTCTTTCACACTTAACATTCATTTTTCTTGCTGTTGGTCTTTCTCTGGTAATGCTAACTAATACTCTTCATCCTTCACTCCATACACAGTACACACTGTGCTTTGTTATTGTTTCCAGTCTGCATTCCACACTTCCAGTCCTGGTGCTGAGGTATGGATTGTATCTACCTCCCAATTTGAAATTAAACCTTTCTGAGAAATGCCTTCTCACCATTTTTGGGGCTGCAAAATCTGTGCTATGACTGCTATCTAAATTATTTCTTATCTAATTGTTAACTAAAGTGCACAATCAAGCCAGGAGATTTCACAATTATTGAAAATGCTTCACTTTTTAGATGGAGGATTTTTGTATTAGGTGGGATTTTTACAATCTTTATCCAGTCTGTATAATTCGCTCTATATATATTACACTATATGCTCCACTCTGTCTATTATCCAATCAGTATCTCCCACGTACCCAGTTGATGTAACTCACTCAGTGCACACCACTCAGTGTACCTCACTCATCAGCTTGCTCCACTCAGTGGCCAGTCAGTATACCCCAGTCAGTATCCCCCACTCAGTATGCCCCCACTCACTATGCCCCACTCAGTATACCCCACTCAGTATGCCCTACTCAGTATACCCCACTCAGTATACCCCACTCAGTATAACCCACTCAGGATACCCCACTCAGTATACCCCACTCAGTATAACCCACTCAGGATACCCCACTCAGTATACCCCACTCAGTATACCCCACTCAGTATACTCCACTCAGTATACCCCACTCAGTAAGCTCCACTCAGTATATACACACACGTCACACAGCCTGTTCCTTCCCCCCCAGCACGTGCTGCTCCGTATCAATGATACGCAACTCGTCGCGGTGCATTATATTTCAACAGAAAATTCCATGTCGAGCGCGTCGGGTGGGCAGCGGTCGGTTGAGTTGTGACAAATCAATTGACAATTACATGTTGAAAGTGTTTCTTATTGTGAAATGCCGTTATTGGAAGAATTATTGTTCAAAATAATTGCTTTGCCTCTTTTGACTTCTGGTTTTTGTTCGAAGCCATCACTTCGTCATCATTATTGTTATTACATCGTGATGGCCGTCATCACCTTCTGTTGCAATCACTCCACCACCTCCTGGGGCCGTATTATCAAAACTTCGTAACTTTTTGTACTTCCGACAAAAAAGTTACGTGTTACGTAAGTACACCCTAATTTTGGCATTATCAAAATATTCGTACGTAAGACTTAGCTAAAAGCGTACTATCAAAACCATCTGGCCAACTGACCAATCAGAGGCTTTGGATTTGTTTACATTCTGTGAACTTGGATGGCGGGAATCGATGCCTTCGATGGTATCGACTATCGAATGCTGTCTGTCGGTATTGCTCCTTGTTGGCCCAGAAAAAGCCGTTCTAAAATAGTTGTGAACTCTTTTTAATAAACAGCGTGAGTTGAAGAAGAAATCTGTGTACGGAGATAAAAATTATGGTTGGCATAGATATAAAGTACCGACTGGAAGGAATGAATGATGAGAGTATGGGTAGGATGGTAGCCCAACTCTTCAACTCTCCAAAATATAACGTATTATGCATTTGCTTGTAAAATCTAAAGTAAAAGGAAAACAAAATCAGTTTCTGGCATTAACTCAATTGAATTTTTTTCCAATAGCACTGTTTAGCACGATCACATATTTTGATCGTGCAAATGTTGCACGATCAAGTAGTGGAGATATCACAAGTAGAGCCATCATTCTGTGCGTGTATAATCCGCGCTGTCGGATTATTGACAAAATTCTATCACAAGTCAAGGTGTTGCTACTTGCTAGTAAATCAATAGTTTCCTATCGCTTCAGCAGACACTCAAAACTTGTGGGGAACTTCACTTACGACATCTCCGAGCAGGCGTACAGTTACGTTACGTATCTTCCCGCGCAAATGTTTTGATAATACCACCTCTAGAGTTACGTCATCAAGTCAGCACTTACGCCACTCGTAAGTCGATTTTGCGTACTTACGAAGTTTTGATAATACGGCCCCTGGTTGTCACGCCTGCGTGGTTTAACCGACTTAGTCCTGGAAGAATTACGTCATTGCTGTGCAGGGCGCTGACCAGATTCTCGGAAGTGATGAGGTTGTCGCATGGTCGCGTCAACCCACTGTTTATGTCCCGTCAGGACGTATAGGTACAATAAAAACCTATGAATGGCCGTCATATCAAAAATACTTTCGAATTCGTAGCTCCGTCAGCCAATCACTGCAGGCTTTTCGAATATAATCCCACCAATCACAAATGAGAAATCGGACACTACGTGGACTCAGCGTGTTTTGATAGTACGGCCCTGAGCTTTGAAACTCGAACAAGTTTACGAACTTCTCGGGACTTATTCTTCGTATGTAGGGATGTTCTAGAATACAGTTTCAGTTTTATGGAAAATAACAGTATTATCATTTTCATCTCAAATGTTTGAAATACCATATGAAAATCGATTGATATGAAGATAAAACGTGTGCGGTACAATTATCCATGACCTAGCAGCTTTAACGCGTCATTTACGTCATCATAGAAGTGTTGGGGTGTGTAGATCGAGTGTTGGGGTGTGTAGGGCGAGATCTGCGCCCCTGCAAGTATTTCGGTCGATGTGTAGTTCAGGTGGAGCGCGAGTGTGTAGACGGCGGGTGCAAACAAGGAAAAGGTGTGTTTACATACCTGCGGTGTTAACATAGATAGCGGTTGTTGTTAACAACACCACGCAATGTATTGTTCAAGTTATGAGTACCTATATTTGTAGGGATGAATAGAGGATATTTTAAACGTAACAATCACTTGGAAATGAGGTACCAGTTCTAAACAAGTAAGCTTCCTGCAAGGCATTTGATGTTTAAAAAACAGTAATTAAACGTTTCAGCGAAATTAACTCGTCATGCACGTTATTTCAAGAGTCATTTGCTAGGCGTATTGTGTGTGTGGAAAGTTCAGTAAAAGCGTAACCCTGCACGCAGCGCGATAACCGATACTGAAGGCGTAGCCTACGCATGTTGTGTTGCCATGCAGAGTCCGGGTATCGTAAAGCTCTCTCAATACTTGTAAGTTCTTACCGTGGCCGTACGTTTTAAGGTTCTACGGGTTGATGTGAATTCTTGCGAGAATCGTAAGTCAGTACGGTTTTAGTAATTTCTTAAGGGGGAGGTATACCCTCCGGAAAAACTTTTTTGTTTACGGACGGATCACTTTGAAGCTTGGTACCTACTCATATGTAAAACAGAATTCCATCGAGAATCGAAAAATTTTACTTTGTTTTTTTCTAGGCTCAGTTTAAAGGTCCAAGAACTGCGCATTTAAAGAGCCCAAAGCTATATTTGTGCGTTCATTTGTTCGCTCACGAGGGCCGGCAAAGCGCAAGTAAAACCTAAACCTTCAATGAGCACAAATTTCAGTTTTTTTGCTCTCCTGAAAAGTTGGAATTTTCATCTTAAAAAACCTGTCTCCTGTGATTTTCAACATCCTCTTGAAAACCTATCTTCTCTTATGATTCTACAGCATTGAGAGATATACGTTCCATTCGTTTTGTAAGAAAATCTATCAATTGGC